CGGGAGACGCTGGGCCCAGCCCAGTCCCCGCCCGGCCGCATGGCCTGGGCAGGGAACGGGAGGCCTGGAGCTCTGCCGCCCTTCCCAGCCAGGAAACAAAGAGAACCAAGAGAGCTCTGGTTTTACACTTTAAGGTAGGGTTCACAAGTTGATCCCACTTTTCAATGGCCTAAACTGCTGTCAATTCTCAGCAATGACCGATAATTGGTCAGGAGAAAAGACGCCAGGCAGATCCCAGCAACTTAAACTTTCTTAAAGGTAAAGTAACTCCATGACAGAAACACACTCCTTTTATACAGCACTTTGGTACAATTAATATGATTGGTCATTTAGAACAACAACCCTTGACCATTATTTGCAAGTAAATAACAAGTTAGAAAAACACCACCTGCTAATGGTTTTTCACCTTCCAAGGATTGCTTGGATTCCTCATGATTTCCCATGCCAGAGGGAGGAAGTTGTGTACTTGACTTTCCCACAGGCTCAAGCTGGTGCCTGAAGCCTGAAAATCTCTTATGTGACCACTGTCAGTTCCCACACCTTGCTCCATGTCCCCCAATTATTTTAATGTGCAAGACCCATTTTTCTGAGACACAGGAGAAGAGCCGTGATTTCTTCCAGCCACCCAACTGTAGTGTTGGATGGTGATGGTAAAGGTGACTCTAGCTTCCTGAAAGCACCTCCAGGCAGGAAGGTGTCTGGGCAGGCTGCAATCACACACTCACACACACCATCACTCACAAACACACCACAGATTGCAGAGCAACAGCAGAGAGCCAGGAAGGATCTTTGTGTTGAGTTCCATGGGGTTCATTGCAGCCACGCACCGACGGGGGTCCAGGAACAATGACATGGAACAATGGAGGGTCCAGGGATATATATGGGTTTGAGGGGGTGGATCCAAGGGTCAGGGTCCAATAGGAACAGGGTAAAGTGGTGCATGGGCAGGGTCAGGGAGAGGGAGAACCAATGGGATAACAGGGGTGGAGGATTGCAGTAAACTGGGGCCAACATGGGAACAGGGAAAGGAGAACTTTCTAGGGGAAGGACACAGAAGGTAAAAAAGGGGAGGGACGGCCTGCAGGCCAGCTGGGTATAACTGGGGTACAGTGAACTGGTGATGCAAAGAACTATCAGAAAAGATTTTTTCCTTTTAATATGGGGGAAAATCTTCTCTCTATGCTTTGACTTCATACATTAGAGGCCTCCTTCCACACCATTACTGCCCTTGGCTGTGGTGCCTCCACACTCAGAGGGTGTTTCACTGAAGGCTGCTTCAGATGATGGTGCAGAAAAGGACAAAAGAATAACATTTTGGTCTGGAACCACCATTTGATGATCAGAACGTACTGAAGGCAGAAGGTTAAAAATAGGCAGAAACTCTGCACTGGACACGCAGTGCACATTCAATCGTCTCAGTGAGGGAAACATGAGTAACTCAGTTCTTAGGGAAAGGGAATAGGAAATTAAAGGGAAAATGAAATTACAGATTAAAAGTGAGACTATTCACATAAAAGAATTCATCTGACCATCCTAACTGCCCTGATTTTGGGTAAGCTTCTGTCAGCCAGACTGTGAGGTGTTCAGGGCAGCCAGAGAAGCAGGTACGGCAAAATCTAAATTCTGTGAAGGTGGATGTTTGCTTAAACTGAATGTATATACAAAAAAAAATTTATATATTTATGTGAATACTTCAGTTTAAAATTAAAGGTATGTATTCTAAATTACATACTTTTAAATATGAAATATGAGTCAATGACTCAATTACAACATGTCCATAATGTGTTGCCCATGTGTTTCACAGGGTCTAGTGAGGAGGAGAAACAGATAGACACACACATTACCCTTAGCATACACAAGCCCTCAGTGAATAAATTGGTGTCTTTGTTAAATGGCTTCACACTCTGGGGAGGAGAGTGAAAAAACACACATTTGGAAGTGTGTAAGCAG